TTATGTGATTGCTTCGTTGGAAAAATGCGCATAAGTTTTGATATAACAAGTTGATTATATTATTTTTTCTTCTAATAAAGTTAGAAATCTTAAAATCTTTTTTTTTTGCATATCGATACCAGTATTCTAAAAGGACGTATCCCACGAATCTAAAATTTTACAGGAGGAGAAAAAAACGTTTAATTTTTCAAGTCTTCGATAAAAATTAAATTTTTTCACTGCCAAAATTTTGTTAAAACATGTTTTATGACTCAGTGTTGCTTTCTGGTAATTATTTCATTAATTGACGACAGTAAGTGGGGTACGTCTTATTGTGATTACATCCCTTTATTGGATACGACATGTTTTTTCAGTGTCATATTACCTGAATCATAATGACTGATGGGTTAAGACAAATTACACAATGATTATACGAAGTAACATTTATTTTTGCTTAATGAACATTGAACAGTATTGCTGTAAAAATTAAAAAAAAACTAAACCTAATCTAATAATAATAAACTACTTAGATTTCTCATTATTTATTATTGTTCTCTTTTTAACAGTCTTCCTTGTATCAATCTTTTTTGTGTTGAATTTTTTTGTTTGCTGTTTTGTATTTTGCTTTTTGTTGGTTTTCGACTTTATTAATTGCACGGTATTTTCCTCGTTAGACGATAGTAATTGTATTTCTGTATTTTTCTTCTTGTCAGGTTGCTCTGTTTTCTCGTAATATTTAATCATGTCATAAAAGTAATGTGTGTCTTTTGGAATAACTTTTTTTAGCTGTTGTAAATCAAGCCATTTTTTCTTTGAAATTTCTAACCTTTTGTTGTATAAAGGCTGTGGGATGTATTCATCAAGATTAATCCCTTTTTGCCTTTGTGGTAAGGTTTCATAAGAGTCTTCGTATTTGGTTTTAAATAAAATTTCTCCTGAAGGTAAATATTTCAGGCATCTTATGTCAGCAACCTTCAACGGACTCTTCAATTTTCCTGGACGAATTGAAATATATCTCATCAGGTTTGGGTTATCAAAATTAAGAAAATATGAATGGTCCACGTATTCCACTTCCATAGGCATTGGTTTTTTTCTAGCGTCTTTTATAATATTTATGTAGTCTGTCGGTAGTAAAATATCTTTTCCCTTCAAACGTCTCTCATTAAGACTATGAGAAGAGTCACACTCCATTTGAGTATGACCCTTCTCAAGAAACTTTTGCTCAATTTCAACGTCAAATTTCGTTGCTAGAACGGATAATGCATTTGACAGAACGTTATTTTTATTCTGATAGCCACAACTGTCCGAGTATAAAACTATAGGTTTCTTGTCCCTCTCCAAAACCGATGTCATAAGTTTGACTATGCAGGTTACAAAAACTGAACAACATAGTTCTCCTTCTGTTTCGTTCCATACAAAATTTTTGCATGCATGAGTTGACAGGTTGTAAATTGTAAAATTGTGAACCTGCAATTTTGTCTTATAATACAGGGCACTTGCCTGTAATTGCGGGCACAATTTGACGGCTTGTACGTCCATTGTGAAACAATAAATATCGTGATCTTGTGCTTTTTGTTTGTCCAAATCTTTCTCTTTGCGAGCAAGAACTTTGGCCAAAATATGATCCTGGTAGACACTCTCGTCAACTTGAAGCATTTTGTAGCCACAACATAGATCGCACTGATCCTTCCTAGGGTTGAATAGTGCGAGATTCATTTCATCGAACTCTTTGAGAAAACTACTAAGTGACAAGGGCAGTACATCTTCATCCAAACATTTATTTTTATATAATTGAAATATATCGGTCTTTGATTTGAAGTCTTCCTCCAAATATAATTTGTTTGACTTTTTGCGGCAGTAATGGCTTTCGATTTTCGGCAAACTATCTAGAAATAGTCGCAACTGAACTTTTTTCTCAGTTTTTTGTTTGTTTAAGTCATCTTGTTTGTTTAGTGTTCCAAACACAGACCCCTCGTTGACCCAATGTCTGACCATTCGTTCTTTTATACCTAACGTACCAAGAAAGGTCTGTTTACAAACTTGATGTTTCCCATTTTCTATTTTTAAGTAATATTCAAATGATCCCTTTCTCCTGGATGGATTTTTTGTATAACTTCTTTTTCTTTCTGTATAGTTGGTCATGTGCAATACATAAATCCTCTTTTGTTCCCAGGACATACACCAAAATTTACTGAAAATCATTTGTCGTATTTCTTCAGACATTAAGTGGCAGAAACGATTTACTGCTTTTTGACAAAACTTTGATTTACATTTAGGTCCCAGCTTCCTTTGGTTTCTTTTTATATCATGTTTAACGGTCCCGTCCTTCGATCTTGTGTATCCAATGTACTCTTCTCCCATCATTCTTTTCCTTTTATTAACGTTTTTATCCCATAATTCCCTATTACCCTTTTTCTTCCTTTTTTTTCAGTTATTCCCGTATCTGTAAGAGCTTGTGTGTCTTGAGCTAAATTAAGGTGTTCGGTATTTTCATGGTGGTGAGTATCATCTTTGGACTGTACCAAATTTAGATTATCTTCATTTTCTTCTTCACCTGAGTATTCTGAGTCTTCTTCTTGGCATATTTCTTTTTGAGGCGGCAGATAGTCAGGATCAGAATTATTTACAGATTCTTCTAAACTTTGATGTTGGCAAAGTTTGTTTTTAAGTTGTATCAAAGGTAAGTAATCTTCGTCTGGGTCCTCTTAAGCGTAATCCAATTTTTGAAGTCGTGTTAATTCGTGGTTTAAAGTTTTATCCTCAGGTTTGGCTTGTTCCTCTAATTCTTGAATCTGTATACTTTCTAGTCCTACATTCTCATTACTTCCATGGAATAATTCAGTGGTATTATTTAAGTTCATTATTTGCAGAGTATCAGACATTAAAACATCAACGGAAAGTAAATCAAAGTTAACACCCTGATTATCGAAAGAATCTTGAATTAAGTTGTTTTCATCCTGGTTAATGACTTCTAATTCGTAGGAAACGTCGTCAATCATGTCATTGATATTTATTGCTGATGGGTTGCGCAATTGGGGTACATTGATATTAAATGGTGGTTCATTCAAAGCCATCGCCACCATTTTTGCTACTCTATTGGAGATCTGGAAAAAATAATACATGAATAATTTAAAGGCAAATATTTTTACTACAATTATACATTATAAAAAAATTACCATGCTTGAAGAAACTAATAGACCTTAAAATATAACTTACGTTCGACATCTTGAAAAAACACGCGCTTAAAATACAGTTTTTGCTTATTTCAATTATTGCAACACTATAACTTCCAACGGTCACTTGACGAGAAACTGTGGTATACGACTTATTTGAACGACACAAATCAGATGTTTTTTTTACGACGTATTAGAATAGGCGCGAAAAAAATATTTCCAGTTGAATGTTTCTTACGACATGTTAGATTTAGACGGAAATAGACCTATTGGACTGATATTAGTTAAAAACGCTAAATCCAAAAAATTGTGGGATACGTCCAATTAGAATATTGGTATCGATTTTATATATTCATTATACTTTCATTTCACAATCTTCATTATCCTTCTTACCTTAATTTTGGATATCCAGATAAATTGTATTATTATTGATTAACACTCAAAAAGAAATTTTTCAACTGCAAATAATTCGAAAATAAACTGCAATTTGGCAACATCGACGATGTGCGCTTGCGTAGTATCGATGATCAAATGCAGCAAATATGGGCTTCAAGGTCAGCCACCGGATCCACACCTTTACCCTCGGACATTATCTAATTTTAAAGTAATTTTAAATCAATAAATTTTTAAAAATAAACGTTGAGTCAAAAATATGAGATATTAAAATTAATCTTAAAATATGTCAAAATTATCCACATCAGTGTTGCCAAGAGTAGAACAGGGTAGAACTCTTGTAGCGGCGTTGTGGCGGAAAATAATTTTCTTCACAAAAGTTCAAAAAATAATAAATAAAAGTGATCGGTACTACGTGTAGTTTTTCTGCAAAAACTAGGTCTTTTCTTCTTAATTAAATACATAAAAACTAGTTTAATAAACTACATTATATATATTGTTATTACGATAGAAAAGCAATCCTATAAATAATAAAAATGTAAATTTTGATAAAACATGTAAGGTATAAATTATTTATTTAATTAAAAAATTATCAATTCGCATAAAAACAGAATATAATGAATAAAACAAAATTGTGGCAATATCAAAATTATTAGATACCTATAAAGTATAAAGTACAAAAAATCTAAAAAATTTAAAATAACCAAATAACGAATATAAAATATCATAAGATTTTAATCACCTAGTCAGTAATTTTTTTTAAAACTTTGTAGAAAAGATATATATATATATATATATATATATATATATATATAGCTATATATACCATATATATATATATATATATATATATATATACCTATTTCAACTTGATAAGGGGTGTTTCCTCTGTATAAGGGGTGTAAATAATTTTTTGACGTCAATGCTATATTTAAAGCCATATTTCCTCTCTTCTGAAGCTTCAACCTGGTTTGTATTAAAAGTTTAAAAATAAAAAGTAATAACAACTTAGTAAGAATTTAATTATAAAAAAATAAAGAATAACATTCCCAACAAGTGGTGATACGAGTCAAATAGAGAACTACAACATTTGGTGGCAGCGACTACAAGATTGGTGACGACGGTGGTCCAATCCAGGATCACGACAATATTTCTCACGTCTCTAGCTATACAAGTTGTAATGTAGTTTTTAAGAGTAACATGTAGTTTTCCGAACCCTACTTACCATAATTTACTTTATTAGTCTAATTTATTAAGATCAAGAACCAATTTTTTGTTACCGTATTGCAATAATTATACAACATTCTAGCTCTAGCGTGTTTTTTGTCGTATACAAGTCGTATGCCGCATGGAGCGGAATTTTGAGCAGGCACTTCAGGCACTGTAGTGGGATAATGCGCTAAACAATATCAATTGGCAACACTGCTCTTTATCCTTTGAACGTGCTTTGAATTTGAACTGAATGTCAAGTCGACTCTCGAAAAAAAAATAATTAACATCAACAAACACATACATTTGAAAAGTCATCAATTGTATGCTGATATCGACTAGTCACGGTCAAACTACTTATCAACAGGGTTTAAAGTATCATCGTGACTAAATATATATATTTAGCAGGTACTTCTAACTAGGTTCGATTCGGTATCAGAGTATAGTCGGCTTTTTAGCAACTGAGTACGAACCGAGAAAAATGGCTCAAATTGTATCAGAAGTACTGAATAATCCTCTGTTAAGGGCCTATTTCTTTTATGCCAGCTTGTTGGTGTTGAAAATGCTCTTTATGTCGTTGTGGACTGGTACTAAAAGAATGAAAACGAAGGTAAGTTTTAAATTTAACTTGATACCTTACAAAGTGTATGGGTATATGTCTATTAAATTTAGAGCTAAATCTAATGGATTCTACTGGATTTTTAGACTTTTTCTAGCCCTGAGGATATTGTCAGGTTACCAAAAGCTAAAGTGTCAACAAATGAAAATGTTGAAAGAGTTAGAAGGTATTTTAGTAAAAAATAAATGTGTAGAATATATTAAGCTATTACCAGAGAACAACAATCATAGAGAAGCGACAAAAACTAGTGTTGGGAAAATTCGAATCAAATAATACTACTAATTCGATAGTAAATTAAAACTAACTAATTCGATTATCTTTTTTGATATAATCGAGATAAAAATTAGTAGTATTTTATATTATATCTGTGGTAACCGAATCACAAATGAACAAATGAACATAAAACATAACCTCTTATGGACGAATATTAGTAATTATTAGTACTATTTAGTAGTATTCTTTCGTTCTGAACGAACTGAAAATTTTTACTTATACTGATTTATAAAGGGAATCGACAAAGAAAGGAACGATCCGATATAGAAAAATCCAGAAATCGTTATTTCCAATACCACGTAGGAATAAATCAGATTAAGTGAAAATTTTCATTTCGTTCAGAACGAAAGAATACTATTATTTGGTTCATTTCCATCTCACTGATAACATAAAAAGAAATACGAACCGCACGTAAACAAGGACATACTTATATAGTTTTAGAAGAAATTTTAGAGAGGAGGTTTTCAACAGGAATTGAAATGTTAATAAAAGGCCATAACAATAACAATCATAAACTCGGCACTTTTAAATTTAAAACTTTAAATTATGGTTTAATTTATTAAACTGCTTCGGCACAGTTAATAGAATACCTACATTGAATAAAGATTTATTTTTTTATTCTTTATTCAGTGATAGAATATAGGTATGGCAATGGTTCAGATTTGTTTAAAATAGCCCCTAGACGAGCACTAGCTGGGACGAATTTATTTTTAGGTTAATACTACTAAATAATTCGAATTATTAATTCGATTGTGAAATATGAATTATTACTAATTATTCGATGGTGAAAATAATTCGATTATTCCCATCACTAACAAAAACCGTCGGCACTATTGTAGTGAGGGGGACCAAGTTTTGTGACCTTCAAATTGAGGGTACGTAACGGCGTAACGACCTTCAATCGATTTCCAGTAATTCTATTGGCTGAAATTTTTGACAGATGAATTTTTCAGCCAATAGAATTACTGGAAATCTATAAGGTCGTTACGCCGATACGCCGTTTTTAGCATATACATATAACTATATATACTCAGTATTCCCTATTTAACCCCGTGTGTTGTTTCCGTGCCGTAAGAAAAAGACAACATAACTCAGCTCCATATTAATGCTGCATAAGTCTATTTCACCCGGATATCGATTGAACTGCGATTGCGCCAAACTCCGATTGATTGTTGTTTTAGTTCTGTTTGCATTACTTTTTATTTGTGTGTGTAAAAGAGTGATTTTGTTTAGTTTATTGTTTCCAACTATTTTTTGATATTTTTCCAACTCCATGATAATGTGTTATAAATAATAAAAATATAAATAAAATTGAAGGTTAGGTGAAATGTCAGTCAACCACTTCCCTTTAAAAACACGGACCAATGAAAACTTCTTCAGGTAAGGCATGCGCAATTAAGTGACTATCCGGGTGAAATAGACTTATGCAGAATTCCATATTTCTCTTTCACTGTTTGGGCTTCACTTTTTAGAGATTAGGCTGAGTATATAAAGTTATATGTATATGGTTTTTAGGATAGTGTGGATGCACCCTGAGGTACGTGAGAGATCGCCGGTTTATTACACTGAAAGAAATTCAATGAAGACAAAAGAAATGAAAAAAGATATAGGTACACTGATAAAAAATGTGTTTAGTAAAAAGTATATTAAAAATATTTAGGAATAATTTTGAATAGTAACTATCTTTTAACATTTTACGGGTTTCCGCGATTTGTCGATTTACCGCGTTCAACACTATCTTTTAGGGATATTCCTTATTTTTATATATTTGATAATATTGTTTGCTTTCAAATTAATATTTGAAAAAACTGGATGTTTTTTTTAAATCAAATGATAAATAAAACAATTTTAAGAAATTTCTCAGCTGTTATCAGAAGCGTTAAAACAAACGACAAAATAAATAATAGGATTAATTTTTTAATGATGTCAAATTAGTTTTCCACAGAGAATAGGTACATTAAAGAAATGCTAACTTCATGTTAAAAAATGGAAACAGACGCCACCTGGTGTCGCCTGGCAGTACTAGCTAAATTGAGGGGAATTGGAGGGGCGGGGCTTAAAAGAGGGGAAATTTAAAAAAAATATATTTTTATAAGTATCACTGACTTACTGTTTAAAGTTAATAAACATATTTTTATTACTTTAATATAATTTAATGTATTAAAAATATGTCTATTAACTTTACACAGCAAATCAATGATATTATTAAAGGCTTATTATTTTCAGAGAAAATTCATAGTAAATAAATTACACATTAGTAAACAATATCATTTATTTTTTAGAGCTGCGATTTATATTACAATAATATTGAAATATATATTTTTTTTAACAATGAAAAAGAATATCCCGGAACCTGAAAAAGAAAGATGATCAATTAATGACTTAAATTAGTTCAAAATACATTTTGCAAATAACTAGTGAATTGGAAAGATAAACATACTATTAAAAAGACATTTTAGTAGTATATTATCATCTATTTACTGATAATACATAAGTATATAATAGGTAAATAACATGCATAAGGCACTATGATACAACTACCTGTATCATGATAACACACTAATATCACAAAAAATATATGCTAATTTAAATTCCTTTACTGATCTAATGAAACACTATCTAGCCTCAATGCATGCCATTCCAAAGCCAAAAAAAAACTGTTATACCAAATAAATATAAGCTGAATAAAACATAAACCAAGCCAACGTGCATAAACAACCAAAAAATGCATCAAAATAGCTATTTATGTAACTAGTACCTAAAATGATGTTTTTTAGGACGAATCATTACTGTTTGCGGACGAGGCGTTAGCCGAGTCCGAAATAGTAGATGAGTCCTAAAAAACATAATTTAGGTACGTGTTACATACACTATTTTTTGTCATACGCTTTTTACAGTTTTTTAGAACGCATATTTGCAAATTTTCCATATTTGAAATTATAATGTTTGAAAAAGTTGGCTTATAAATTCATATCTTAGTAACGAGTTTGTTTATTTCATCGCATTTTGACATGTCATTCGAAATTTGTCACAAAATCACACAAATTCATCAACAATTTTAAAATGTTCCAAAATCCCGAACATATTGCTAATAAGGCCAAAGAAATCGTGTTGGATTTACTTCCTGTGAAGTCTCGTGCCATTTACCAGAAAGAATATGATGTTTTTAATGAATGGAAAGACAAAAATGGCGTATTCGTTGTAAATGAAGATGTATTGCTAAATTATTTCCACGAAAAGTAAGTACCTAGGTACCTATTTAAAAGAGGCTTTTAAATTAAAATATTCTTAAATTACAGTCACAAACATTCAAACCATCGTCAATTTGGTCGAAATATTCCATGCTGAGAGCAGTGTTAAGTGTTAAAGAAGATATTTATATTGACAAATTTCCAAAACTTATTGCTTTTTTGAAGAGGAATTCGGTTGGTTACGAGCCTAAAAAGTCTAAGGTTTTGTCCATAAAAGAGATCGGTGATTTTTGGCCACGGCTAGTGATGAAACTTATTTACTTACTAAGGTAAGTTTGCGATAATGATTTTAAAATATATAGATGGTTTCTTATTCCATTGTATTTGATTTTTAGGTAGCTCTTGTCATTGGCCTTTGTGGAGCATGTAGAAGAGAAGAATTGTACTCTCTACGAGTGCAAGACATCATAGAAAAAGACAACAGCTGCCTTTTAGTTACCCTTGCGGATACAAAAACTAATATCAAAAGAGTGTTTCCGGTGGTGAACGAAGGGAACGTTGTCAATCCAGTTGAGTTGTATAGAAAATATGCTTGTCTTAGGCCAAAAAATGTACCACATGATTATGTCTTCATCTCTTATCGTAAAGGAAAATGCACCGTGCAACGAGTCGGCATTCATTCATTTGGGAAGATGCCATCGATTGTAGCAGCATTTTTAAAGTTGTCGAACCCAAACGAATATACAGGTCATTGTTTCCGACGTAGTTCTGCTACTCTTGCTGCAGATGCAGATGTGGATTTTACATCGCTGAAACGCCTAGGAGGTTGGAGGTAAAAATTTTAATATTTTCCGATCTTGTTCTAAACAACAATAATTATTTAGGTCGTCCACAGTGGCCGAAGGTTACATAGAAGAATCTATTGAGAAAAAGAAGAAAGTTTGCAAACTGCTAATGGGGGAAAAGAAAATCGCGACCACTTCCACGGATGTATTACCAAGTACATCATCGTTCGCATTTACTCCACCTCATCAGAAAGTAAATTTACCTGCCAATGGAGGAGTCGTTTCGATTGCAGATGCAAGTTTTCAAAATGCACAAAATTGTTCATTTCATTTTTATTTTTCCAAATAACTTAGCTTTTGATATTGTTAGTATTTAATAATTTAAAAATCAAATACAATGGAATAAGAAACCATCTATATATTTTAAAAATCATTATCGCAAACTTACCTTAGTAAGTAAATAAGTTTCATCACTAGCCGTGGCCAAAAAATCACCGATCTCTTTTATGGACAAAACCTTAGACTTTTTAGGCTCGTAACCAACCGAATTCCTCTTCAAAAAAGCAATAAGTTTTGGAAATTTGTCAATATAATATCTTCTTTAACACTTAACACTGCTCTCAGCATGGAATATTTCGACCAAATTGACGATGGTTTGAATGTTTGTGACTGTAATTTAAGAATATTTTAATTTAAAAGCCTCTTTAAATAGGTACCTAGGTACTTACTTTAAACAAATAACTTAGCTTTTGATATTGTTAGTATTTAATAATTTAATTATAAATATATGTATAATTTTATGTGATTTTGTGACAAATTTCGAATGACAAAATAAAACAACCAAATAACGAATTTAGACATTTTAGTCCATAAAGGTTGCCATGACGACCTTTACGGCCTAGGCCGAAAAAGAAACATTTTACGGACTGAAATGAGTCCGTAAAATAGCTGTTTTTGGGAGCGTATGACAAAAAGAAAATTTAAGTTAAGGCAATATGCTCCTTTTTGCATATTAATGGCCAAATAATATAACGTTGATTTAATAAAATTTTACTGGCGTCCTTCTGAGATATAAATCAGATTAAAAGGACATTGTTTTTGTAATAATTGTTTGTTTTGTAAACATTTTTTGAAGACAATACAGTTTTGAACGGGCTGTGCGATATAAACAAGAATCTTACTATTATTTGAGGTTAGAAAGTATTTAAATAATATAAAACATAATCAAAAACATTTTTCATCATAAATTATAGAGGTACTTACGTGTTTTGATATTATTATCAGGAAATAATACGTTTAGTTAAACAGGTACGCTGCCAGGCAAGTTCTATCGGCGGGTCTTTGCAAAAGTTGAAATCTAAAAATACAAAAATACGTTTACATCTTAGTTGTATTTACGAATAAAGTATTTGTGTGTAATTTCTGACTTACCAGTTAACTGAATAATCGCATTAAATACATCCAAATGGTAATTTAATATTGTAAAAAAGCAAAATTGTTTTAAATCACTTGCCAGGACTGAAGATTTTCTAATTTAATTTTTTAATAAGCGTCTCAAAATATGTTAACATTACACACATTTTTAGTAGGTTACTTAAGTACTAAAAGTTCAAACATGTTAAAGTTCTACATGTACATATATATTTTTTTTAATTTAAATGTCAAATGTACCTTTATCATATTGATCCATCTTCTTTTGTTACTTCCTGGTCAACAGTATTTTGAAATCGTCGAACTATACGTTTTTGATATTTAAAAGGCAAATAATTAAACTGTACTCAAAATGCAATTCTGTATTATCCAAAAGTTATTTTGCCGATTCCGTTCAATTGTTAACTTTATTTTCAAAACCGGGAAGAAAATATAGCACAATCATGTAAGTACCGTATGATCGAATAAAAACGGCGTCAGCGATGGCTATGAAATGAAGATCGTTGTCATTTTATATGTAAATTTATATAGGAAATGCCATCGATCGTCATTTCCAAGCCAACTGGACGCCGTTTTTATTTGATCATACGGTACTTCTTTTGTTTGGTGAACATTATAGTTTTATGAAAAAATAGTAATTTTTTACATTGAAAAACATGTCGATTTTACTAAAATAACAAAGTCAAAACGTAACAAACTATATTTAAAATGAATTTACGTATTTTGCTAAAATTTTTCGATGGATAATTTGTTATACCATCGGTACCAATCACTTACTTTATTTTATTATTTTAGTTCAAAAACTTTGAAGGCACCTATTCATAAGAAGGATTTTAATTTAAAAGCGAACAACCTGCATCTATATTAAGTTTTAATAATATTTACTTCTGAAAGTTAGTTCTTTCTTTAAATACGATTATAATAAGTAAGGATAAAAGATAGATTAGTTAATTCAAAAAGATTATTTACGCAAATAAAAAAAATAGTAAGATTTCAGGACTTTAGCATTAACAATGGCAACGCTGCCCGTGTTCCGAAAATCCGTTGAGATGACAGTTGGCCGTTTTACCTCCCACTCCAAATTTTTAGGCGGGATTCGTTTTGTCGCTTCTCTCATATACGTATTACTTTTTACAAATATACTCAGCCTAATCTCCAAAAAGTGAAGCCCAAACAGTGAAAGAACAATATGGAATTCTGCATAAGTCTATTTCACCCGGATATTCATTTAACTGAGCATGCCTCACCTGAAGAAGTTTTAATTGGTCGATGTTTTTAAAGGGAAGTGGTTGACTGACATTTCCCCTAACCTTCAATTTTATTTATATTTTTATTATTTATAACACATTATCATGGAAAGAAAGAAAGAAAGAAAGAAATTGCTTTATTGTCATAAAAAAATTTTACAATTTTGTTGACAAAGCTTAAAAAAAAAGAATATAAAAAACATACAAAACTTCACTTAACAATAGAAAAACATATAAAACTAACAGCAAACATACAAAACTAAAACAATACTTTATACAATTATAGAAATTGTACATTGTCAAAAATTTATTTAATTAAATATAAATAAAATATACTATATATAATGTCAATACTAAATTTAAATGGATAGAAAACAAAATCATTTCTTAAATTTAGTGAATGTGTGTTAAATTTAGAACCCTAGATATTAATAAAAAAATCGTTAACCGCGTAAATGGAGTTGGAAAAATATCAAAAAATAGTTGGAAACAATAAACTAAACAAAATCACTCTTTTACGCGCACAAATAAAAAGTAATCCAAACAGAACTAAAACAACAATCAATCGGAGTTTGGCGCAATCGCAGTTCAATCCATATCCGGGTGAAATAGACTTATGCAGTTTTAATATGGAGCTGGGTTATGTTGTCTTTTTCTTACGGCACAGAAATTGCACACGGGGTTAAATAGGGAACCCTGAGTATATTTGTAAAAAGTAATACATATATGGCTTCTCTACGGTTGTTCTTCTCTGCTATTACTGTCACTGTATAATACTAAAGTTCATGTTTAGGCAACTTTTCTTTAGTAGTTATTTGAGTCACATTTCACAAGTAATCTTGTGTATGTAATTGATTTTCTTCCATTTTAGGGCTCACCTTAATGATGTTGAAAACATACCAATATTTTTAGTGATCAGTTTAGGATACATACTAACAAATCCATCATATGCAGTTACCTTATTATTATTTCGAGCATATACTTTAGCAAGATATATCCATACCTTTGTTTATGCAATTTATGTTATACCACAACCTGCTAGAGCATTCTCTTGGGGTACTGGATATGCTATTACCATTTATATGGCCGTCTCTACACTGAGTTACTTTTGGTAAATGTTGTTTTACTACCGATAATAAGTTTGAACTGACAACTAAACTTAATTTTTGTAATTTCTTGGGAACTTAGTTTCTACCATATGATCAGAAAATGGCGTCCAGTTAGCTGCGAAATGATGATCAGTGACATTTCCCATATAATTATACGTATAAAATAACAGTCATAAAGAAACAATGACAGCGATCCTCATTTTCTAGCCGTATCTGACGCCGTTTTTTCGATTGTATTGTTTTAATATGTGTAGTATTTAAATGCTTTTTTTTATATTTGTAAAAATGTTAGAAACTAAAGTTGTAATAAAAAATAACAATATTTGTTCTTTTTTTTTGGTTTTTGTTATAAATTATCAAGAGTATTGTATATTTTATTACTGGTTAAAATACGTATACCATCCTGGACTCTTTACCTGCTTGGTCAGTATAAAGGTTGTTTCTCACTATACCTTCCATTTCCATTCCATATTCGATCCGTATTTTTTATTGTATTGACGCTATACGTAAGCTTCCTTTCCGTACCTTAAAAATTTGTATCTTTTGAAAAAGGTAATAGATTTAATTAGAGGTGAAAGAATGAATAAATATCAGCAAAATTTTAACAGAGCTGGTACAAATGTAAGAACTTGACAACGCTGTTTTCGATACGCTTAGGTCCGTCCGCCAAAAAATGTATGGAAGGAAAGAATATGGAACGGAAGGGAAACGGAACGGGCATTGTGCATTGTCTTAATCATTTACATGATATGATCATAGATATGATATTTTATGTAAACGGAAGGGAGCTGATATGGAAGGTATAGTGAGAATCAACCTTTATAAAGTATATAATGTCTGTATTTTAATTCATGCTACAGAGACAGAGATAAATATAAATGACCGGTTGACAGGCAGAGACAAAATAAAAAGCGGCTACAGTGTTGCCGGTTTTTAAGTGTCTAAGATGCGTGTAGAAAAATTAACTATTTAAAAACTTTCATGTATTCTACTGAAATGAAGATAATATATTTACGCTTGTTCTTCTCTGATATATTATTACCTAGGGTATATACCGGGTGCGTCTCAAAAGTGGCTCACCCCCTATAACTTTTTTATTCTTTCAGATAAACAAACGAAATTTGGTATTTTAGTTTGACATAAATTAGGATTGATTGACATATTCAATTATTTTCGGTCACTCTGTTTCACCGGAAATTATTACAACTTTTGATTTTTAAATGGCACCCTCGGTGTTTTTTGACTTTATTCGATAGAAAATGACCTTCTGTGGGTGCATCCACACTATCCTAAAAACGGCGTAACGACCTTGAATAGATTTCCAGTAATTCTATTGGCGGAAAAATTCATCTGTCAGAAATTTTATCTGAGGGTGCAGCCACACTGTCCTAAAAACGGCGTAACGGCGTAATGACCTTGAATAGATTTCCAGTAATTCTATTGGCTGAAACATTCATCTGTCAAAAATTTCAGCCAATAGAATTACTGGAAATCGATTCAAGGTCGTTACGCCGTTACGCCGATACGCCGTTTTTAGGATAGTATGGCTGCACCCTGCATAACAAAATACCGAGTGTGCCATTTAAAATTCAAATTCAATCAATTTCCGGTGAAACTGGAAGTGACCGAAAACAATTGAATACGTCAATCAATCCTAATTTATGTCATATACTAGCATTACAGTTGAGGGTTGGAACCTTTGGTGTTACACAGCACACTAAATCACCACAATACACCAAAACACTTTTACTTTTACACTGGACGCGCGTTTCGCTAACCATGTTAGCATCATAAGCAGATGATTATAAACTACTAACTAACAGTTTATAATCATCTGCTGATGATGCTAACATGGTTAGCGAAACGCGCGTCCAGTGTAAAAGTAAAAGTGTTTTGGTGTATTGTGGTGATTTAGTGTGCTGTGTAACACCAAAGGTTCCAACCCTCAACTGTAATGCTAGTATATGACATAAATTAGGATTGATTGACGTATTCAATTGTTTTCGGTCGGATTGTTTCGGATTTAGTGTTTTTATTTTGATATACTAGCACACTAAATCTCGATTTTTTATCCGAAAATATAAAAAAGTTAAAGGGGGTGAGCCACTATAGTACATTACAGAGCTGCAGTAAAATAAGTAACTCGTTATGAAAAACAAAGTTCCAACCATAGATGCAACATTTTTCATAAAGGTTAACTTAAGTCTTTTGATTTAAATCATTTTAATGACTTAATAGCTATTTATGTAACTAGTACCTAAAATGATGTTTTTTAGGACGAATCATTACTGTTTGCGGACGAGGCGTTAGCCGAGTCCGAAATAGTAGATGAGTCCTAAAAAACATAATTTAGGTACGTGTTACATACACTATTTTTTGTCATACGCTTTTTACAGTTTTTTAGAACGCATATTTGCAAATTTTCCATATTTGAAATTATAATGTTTGAAAAAGTTGGCTTATAAATTCATATCTTAGTAACGAGTTTGTTTATTTCATCGCATTTTGACATGTCATTCGATTATAACCAAATAACGAATTTAGACATTTTAGTCCATAAAGGTTGCCATGACGACCTTTACGGCCTAGGCCGAAAAAGAAACATTTTACGGACTGAAATGAGTCCGTAAAATAGCTGTTTTTGGGAGCGTATGACAAAAATATATTTAAATCTTTTTATAAAAGACTTAAGTCATCTAAAAGATTTAAGTCGCAAAGTTTTATAAAAGGCTTACGTCAGATTATTATATATTTTTATGATAAATTTTTAACAGCAGTATTTTTTTTGCACACCTAGTATAGTACACCTTCTTAGTTCCGTACAGTCTTCTTAGTTCCTGAAATACAACGCGAATTTTAAAATGTTGTATTTTTCGACCATCTTCGTATCTTTGTTTTAGTTGCGCCACTATTTTCTGTGGAACCTACGGTTCAGCCAGAAAATCGAATCCAAATTTTTTTGAGATTCTCAAAAACGGTGGGGTGGGGGGATACGACTGGCAAAATATGAGAGCGGGGGTAATTTAATGAGAGTCTAGACCTTTTTTGATGCCAGATTGGCTACTATTTTCCACATAGATGACAACAGTTCTGTAAGGTGTTACTGTTACTGTGAATTGTCTTGAAGTGTTTAGTAAGTCTGCAATGATGTTTAAAGAGTTTCTGGCAATTTTCGCACTTATATATCATAATTCCTTTATTATTTTCTACCTGTTTGTAAGTATCTAATGATTTCTTCTCTTTTATTTAAAATTGCTGCTTGTTTTATCATGTAAATCTGCTTGTTTTATCATTATGTCTCTCCATGACATGTATTTTCTATAGAAACTTTTACTACAAAATTAACACTTAAATAAAGGAATTATATCACATTTTTTCGTCCTTTTTCTGGTTTTCATATTTTGAATTAGCTATTGTTTCAGACATTTGTTCATCAATGGGACTTACATTTTATTCAAAAGTATTATTTATTTCCCTTTGTATAGTTAAAGAACACTCTTCAATATCTACTTCGTTTCCTTTAAAATTTTTAACATCCATGTGTATTTTCTGCGATTATTTTTTGATAAATCTAAAAAAAAATAAATTGTTGTTTTTTTATAAATTTACATTGTTCTCTCCAGCCATTTTTTTACCCTTATATATGAAGTGGTAGACGACATTTATTAAAAACTGAGAAAAACTTTTAGGAATTGATTTAAATATGTAGTAGGTAAACGATTATATGGTTGCTGGTTGGGACCGAAGTTTGGAATCAGGGTAAATAAAGTAGGTTCCTTCTTTCTAGAGTATAACCCTGGCAGCAAAAAGAAAACTATTTAACTGGCAATCCTTTTTTGTTAACTTCTATCCTTGTATAAACAAGGCTTCTATTAAGTATACATACAGACCGGACCACCGTAGTAGTAACATAGGCAGAACCGGACGAATTAAGCCGGAGTCTCATGCATCCGAAATCCGATGGTACGACATCCGAAATTTGAAGGTATCGTGTGAAATAAAAAAAGCCTGTCACATATATCCGAAAGTTCGTTCCGAAATTTGACAGTTGTGACATTTAGACCTGTCATTCCTATGTATTATTATTATGTATTATTCCATGTATTATTGGAGAAACACTTATAAAAATAACTTCCTCGCCAAATATCCCGAAATTGCCCACTTCCCACTAAACTCGATTTTAAAAACCAATGTTTTCAAAAAAAGTGAGGTTAAAAAACACACGATATCGTACAAAAGTTAAACAAAATTTAACTTTATATGACGTCGGACAATTAGTTAAAAATATCGGATAAAAATTGGTGTCAAAATATTTCGACCAATAGGAGCACCGTCGGATCGTCGTGTCATCGGATTTCGGATGCATGAGACTCCGGCTTTAGCGTATACCCGTCCGCCGGATAAAAAGCAAGCGAAAAAATGCGATAAAATAAAAATAGGTAGATATGTGATAAGAATGTTTCAGAATTCGTGTTTTAATAGTCAAAACGAATACATAGATTCTCGCGACAGCTCACGTGTAAAATTTATTTTTTAAGTAAAATAATGGATGTTTACGAAGTTCGTGAGAAAATTCAAATTGTAAAATGGTATTTCCAAAATAGGGCTTATCGGGATATACAAACAATTTTTCCACAAACTTTTGTAAACAGGTCAATTCCATCTTTACCTACTATATTAAGAGTTATTAATAATTTTGAAACACATGGGTGCGTGTCCCCACAAAAACACAAAAAGCCTGATATGTTGATTAATGAAGAACAGGAGTTAAAGCAAGTGTTCATTTTTACTACCGCGGATCAGAATCCCACGTTTTCAAGTAATCAAATTGATGAGGTAACAGATTCTTCACCTAGCACGGTTAAAAGAGTCCTTAAAAAGAATGGATACCGATCGTATAAAGCGCGCAAAACTCAAGAAATTTTCCATGAAGACCAATTTCGGCGTATGGCGTTTTGTGAATCTGTAATGGAAAAGGCCAATTTAGATGAAAACTTTATTCGGCGTATAGTTTTCACCGACGAATCAAGTTTTCATTTATTGAGTCGTCATAACCCTACACAAGTGCGATATTGGTCTCGGGAAAATTTGCACAGATATTTTGAGGTACGCACGCAATATCCTCAAAAGCTAAATGTTTGGGGTGGCTTTGTAGGGGAGCATATGATTGGTCCATTTTTTATAGAGGGTAATTTAACTGTTGCAAAGTATTTGGACTTGTTACAGCAGCAGATTGTGCCTAGAATTCGTGAGTTATTGGAAGAAAGATTCCACAATGTCTGGTTTCAACAAGATGGTTGCCCTGCCCACAATGACCGTATTGTTCAAGAATATTTGATTTGAATATTGCATTTTTCCCAACCGTTTAATTAGTGGATATGGAACTATTTTGTGGTCCGCTAGATCACCAGATCTTTCTCTCAATGATTTCTTTTTGTGGGGTTATGTAAAATCCAAAGTGTATGGTCATAATAGGGCTAATAATCTGGATGAGCTTCAAGTAAAAATACGCAAGGCTTTCCAAACTATTAGCCCTAATATGTTAGCCAATGTCAAACCGGTATTTTACGACCGCCTAGGCTTCTGTCTAGCACAAGAAGGTGGTCTTTATGAACACTTGTTACAACTTTTTTTTATTTAGAGTAATATTTTAGTTTTTTTTTATTTTATTGATGTATTTTTTAATTTTGAAAATGAGTTTTGGGTTTAGAGAATTTATTTATTTTTAGTTTTGGCTTGTAAACACACTCATAATAAATATTTAAGTATTTTTATTTTAAATGTTACCTTAAGTAAAGGTAAACACTTAAAATGAAAATAATAATTACTCGGCACTCCTCGCGTCGTATTCCTAGTCTGTCACGACCGACCCGTCCAAGCACAACTGCAACTGCGTACTGCCTAACCAGTCGACTAGCCGGCAGTGAATCTCAAGTACGAACGCAATCGGGTAAGCGTAAATTCGTCCGTCAAGTTGCTATGTTATTAGTAGCCTGGTCTTCTCTGTATAGTGAAGTCTGAAGCTTCATGGAAACTTCTTCATGCTAGCTTGGTAGATGGTTAAGGTTTAAACACCGACTCTGTTTAAAAAAAATATTAAATAAAACTATACATTAAAAAAATCTCATTTAATAGGAAGTATATGTGACAATGATATTGTATAATTGCTTGTAAAAAACTCAGTTGTCAACAAATTATACACAAGGTGATCACCATACAACATGTTTAGGAAGGCCAATTAATCAGAAAATTTCAAAAGTAAGCCGTAAAATGCTGTTATACATGTTAAAAATTTAATCTCCTAAAAATAATTTTAATTCCAAAGCCATTATAAATTACAACAGAAATTTTTTGGAATGGGAATTTATGACAAATTCTGACACATCTAAAAGTATACATTCTAAAGGGTATTCCAATAAGAGGTTTCGGATGTTGATAACGAATAAAATAAAAGGTTGTGAAAAGCAAAGCTTACGAGAACAATCCGCAAACCATTTAACAATTGAAACAAGAAATTAGGCGAATAATTCGTGAATGTGTTCAGCAGTAATGGAAAATTTGAACAAATTTATACACTGTCCAGCTAAGCAGTGCCATAAATAACTTTTAGGAATGGTATGAAACTTTTATTTTATTTGTTCTCAACATCCGAAACATCTTATTGGAATACCCTTTATTTAAAAATTTCCAATTTTAGCATGAAGATAATTTTGAATCGCCCTATAAGTACTTGTAAATGTAAAAATATTTTTAAAATGTCAAAAAACGTCCTTTTAACGTCAAAACCTCAAAAAAATTGAAATGCAAGAGACCCAAATAGTAAACTTGAATATTAAGCAATGTGTTGCCTTTAAATTATTACAACAGAGCATTTTTATTATTTCTTTATTAACTTATTTTTTGAAATCATCTGAATAGCTCAAATTTTTTGGGGGATTTAATTACAGATCACCACATTATAATACATTTTATACATTATCAATAAGTTCGTTAGGATTAGCTAAATGATGATTAAGTTTCAAATGGTTTCTTAAATATCTTTTCTGTCTAAAGCTCTGACCACACACCTTACACCTGAATGGTTTCTCATCAGAATGAACTAACTTATGTCTTTTAAGTTCGTATTTTATTCTAAAACTTCTCCCACACACATCACAAGGATACGGTTTTTCACCAGTATGTCTTGTTATATGCGTCATCAAAGACTGTTTAGCTCTAAACTTACTGGAACAGTAAGTACAAGAAAAAGCAAACTCTGTACTGTGAGACCTGTTATGCACAAACAAGGAAGCTTTTTGTTTGAAAGATTTACCACACAAAGCACAAACATATGGTCTTTCATTTGTATGGATCCTCCTATGTTCCTCAGCATTTCTTTTGGTAGAAAAATACCTGCCACAAATATCACACTCAAAGTTCTTGATCCTTTCATGAGTTTCTTTAAGGTGTCTAACCAAACCTTGGGAAACTCTAAATTGTTTACCACAAAGATCACATACATAGGGTCTTTCACCTGTATGTATTCTCATATGCCATACATAGGTGTATACAGAATGAAGATTTTTACCACATTCGTTACATTTGTAAAAAACTCTCCCTTCTACAGTAAATTTCGCCTTGTTCACTATATTCTGGTCAATTTTTTGTTGAGGCTTGTTCATCATGTGTTTCACAGTAAACCTGTGTGTAGAGTTCTTTTTTCTCATAGCTCTCTTATTTTTATTATTATTCTGCAGCTTATTGTCAAAAAATCGCATTTGATCAAATTTAATATCAGGATGTTTTTCATTTACATGTCTGCATATGTCACGTTCAGTCTTATATTTAATAGAACACAAAGAACATTCATAATTCCCAAAACTAACACTATGTTCACTTTTTTTAATACTGTCTGGACTAGCAACGCAAAAATTTCTTAAAAAGGTATCTGATTTTCCTGGTATTATGGAACCTTGGTCTTCTATATCTGAATCTTCATTAAGAGCCAGTCCTTCTTCAATACCTTCATAATTAACATCTTTACTACTTTTGTGCTTGTCTTCAAAAAAAAGTATTTGATCATCTTTAATTTCAGGATGTTTCTCAGTTATGTGATTTGATATATCACATTCAGTCTTAAATTTAGTAGAGCATAAAGAACATTCAAACATATATACATTATTCTCAAAACTGACACTTTCCTTAAGAAATTTTGAACAAAAATTCCTTAAAAGTGTATCTTTCTTTACTGGTATTATAGATTCAGGGTCTTCCATATCTAAATCAACACTAAGTGGTATTTGGTTTTCTTGACAAATCTTTTTCTTGTGTCTTCCGAAGTCTCCAGTATGTAAATCTTTATATATACATACATCATTCCTATAAAAAATGTATCAATATCAGGATTACCAAATACCAAAATATAATAACTAGTTATTTCAAAGACAAAAGTTAGCATTATATAAAAAATGGCTAGAGTTTTGTTATAAGGTAACTACAGTTTGACAAATGAATCTGAAACAACGGGGCAATAATAGGAGGAAAGTTTTATATAAACATACCTAGCTATAGTTGAATTCATAAAATATCCAGAGGTATGCGGTATGTAACGACAATATGTAAGAAATTTCTATATTTTGAAGTAAACTTTATAATATTGTTTTACTATAAGTGCCTACATTTTGTTTAGTGATTTTCTAAATATAGTAATAATTGTTAGAACGTGTGTACTATATATAATATTCACAAATAAAGTTTTAGATATAAAATACAATATGCTAGAATCAAAACCAATCAGATTGGTTGGATCTGTGATGCCATGATCAATTTCCATGGAGTTACCGGCTTGTCTAAAGCGAATGCTATCCTATTACTTTTTTACCTTTTTAAGAAATCTATTACCTTTTACCGCTACGGCCGGCAGTCCGTCGTCAACCGAAAAAGTTAAAAACTTAAGATCCTTTAAAGCTGATAGCTGATTGAAACATTGATTTTATGAAAAACATAATTACAGTTTTCTAACTTACCTCGAAAAAAAATGCGTGAAAGGTGACTTGGTCGGTCATATGGTATATCTAAGTACCAGTTCCTATTATTTTAAATTGTTTTGTTTAGGTGTGTAGGTAAAATTATTTATAAACTGTTACTTTTTTGAAAACTCTGCCTCTGGTACAAACTGGGTGAACTGAGTAACCCAGTAAAAGCCAGTGCCGGTCCCAAGCCCGGATAAAGGAGGAGGGTTCTCAGGCTAGGTTAGCACCCTGCCTGAGGTAAAAGAAACATACTGCTCACAGAACTGAAGGGATAGCCTCGGAAAACGATCGGAACCATATGATGACGACACACGCTATGAAAAGGAAAAGACGACTAGGGAGAAGTAAACACACCATAACAAGACTTGCCTGCTGGAATATAACATCGTGGAATGGCAGAGACCAGGAGATAGTTAACGAAATGAAACAACACAAGATCGATATATGCGCTCTATCAGAAACGAAGAGGAAAGGACAGGGCACATCAAGATACGATAACTACATATTAGCCTACAGCGGAAGAGCTAAACAAGATCGAGCACAATCGGGAGTAGGAATTCTACTCCACGAGAAATACGAACAATGTATAGAAAGCATAGACTACATTAACGACAGAATCATTAAAGTATCTCTAAAAATCAACCACAGGCAAACACACTTAATAAGCACATACGCACCGGATATAAGCAAACCCATAGAGGAGAGCGAAACATTTTACCAAGACCTACAAAATACTATAGATAAACTAAACAACACGGACAAAATTATTATACTCGGGGACTTGAACGCCAGAATAGGCAGGGAAGTGATACCAGGTATAAAACAAAAATACAATGAAGAGATAACCAACGAAATGGAGAACTCCTGATAGACTTCTGTGCAAGAAACGAGCTACGAATAAACAACACGTATTTCCCCCACAAAGAGCAACATAAATATACATTTAGGAACACCAGGGATCAAAAGTCGATGATTGACTACGTAATAAGTAACAGGACAATTATACCATCACAAGTAATAGATGTAAGGGCACTCACCTCAGCGAACATAGGCACAGATCACAGCCTACTACTGTGTAAAATGCTCATGGAAAAGCCCCACAGGACCAAAAAACCCCCAGTAACCATCGAAAAATTCAACATTGAATCACTGACAGATGATAGCACGAGAAACCTGTATGAGAACCGATTAACAAACAAACTGAAAGGACTTAACATGAGTGAAGGCGATGTGGAGAGCTGCTGGAATAAAATCAAATCGTGTATCGTAGAGGCAGCCGAAGAATCCATTGGCAAAAGAAAAGTCAACATAAATGGAACCAATAATAGCAAAAAACCCTGGTTCTGTCACGAAATTAAAGAACTTTCTCAACAGAAAAAGAAATCCTATCTCAGATACAGGAGCTCACCAACGACAGAAAAACGCGTCGAATATACAGAAGTGAGAAACAGAATCAATGCCAGAATCAAAGCCATAAAACGGGATTACTGGGCAAAATTTACAAGCGATATGGATCACGACCTATACGGAGCACAGAAGAAAGTCTGGAAGATGCTTAAGAACAGGAAAAAGCCAGTAAATGAGTTTGTGCAAACAAAAGGAGTTACTAAGGATGTATGGGAGAGCTACTTCAGGAAACTTTACAACACCGAAGAAGTCATAAACGTCGAAAACTACGAGACAAACCATCAAATAACACTGAACGAAGAAGAGGTAATGGCAAAAATCAAAAAATTGAAAAACAGAAAAGCCCCCGGAACAGACCTTATACCAAATGAACTTCTGAAATACGCCGGACCTGAACTAGGAAAACATTTAAAAATCCTTTACAACAAAATCTTAGAAACATCGGAAATACCTACGGAATGGCACAAAAGTATAACTATCCCTATATTCAAGAAAGGACAGAAGACGAACCCAGACAACTACAGAGGCATAACACTGCTGAACACAAGCATGAAACTCTTTACGGGTATTTTGAAGGAGAGACTTGAAACACAAATAACAAACAAGGAAGAACAACAAGGCTTCAGACGAAACAGATCCACGACCGATGCCATATTCATTATCAAACAACTAAAAGAAAAGTCAATTGAATTTAATACACCAGCATACGTCTGCTTCATCGACCTCACCAAGGCATTTGATAGGGTGCGCCTTTACGACATCGTCAATATACTAATGGCGAGAGAGGCGCCAGACACCATTGTAAGAGCGATCCACAACCTAAACATGAACAACAGGACTAGAGTAAAGGCAGGAGACACTTATACGGAAGAGATACCGACACCAGGAGGCATCAGACAAGGTGACAGCCTTAGCCCATTTCTGTTCAATCTCTTAATGGACAGAATTATAGAGGAAGTATCATCACTAAATATAGGATACCGAATGGGACAGAAAAGAATCAGCATGGTATGCTACGCCGATGACGCAGCCATTTTCGCGGAAACGGAGGACGACCTGCAGAAACAGCTTCACAGATTCTACCAGGTCAGTCAAGCGATGAATATGACCATATCTACAGAAAAAACGAAAAGCATAACCTTTGCTAAAGACCCCGTGAGATGTAAGTTGGTAGTTCAGGACAAAATCATCGAGCAAGTCTCACAATTCAAATACCTGGGTATGGATCTGTCGAGCCACCATGATCCAGCGAAGGACTTAAGAAGCCAGATCAACAAAGCGACTGCCATGTCGGGCTGCTTAAGGCAAACAATATGGGCGAACGAATACATGAGATGGGATAGCAAGGTAAAGATATACAAGACTTGTATCAGACCAATCATGACATACGGAATAGAAACCAGAGAGGAAACCAACAAAACGAAGAGCATGCTACGAGTAGCCGAGATGAAAACGCTCAGGACAATAATGGGAAAAACAAGAAGAGACCGAATTAAGAACACCGACATCAGGGAACAATGTGAGGTGCAAGACATAGTAAGGTGGGGCAGACAAAGAAAAAGAGGTTGGTACGCCCAGTGAGAAGAATGGATGAGAGAAGACTGCCACGAATTGCATTAGAAGGGAAACCAACAGGGAAAAGAGAACCTGGAAGACCACCTAAGAGATGGAAGGACAGCTGGCAGTCCACCTCCCAAGAACTGTTACAGAGGACCCATCAAAATTAACAGATCGCGAGATCTTAAAAATGAATAAGAAGAAGAAGAAGAAGAAGACTTTTTTGAAATTTAATGTTTAATATTGTATTGTCAAATAATACATTTTCTATTATAAAATGATCAGCCATTGTAATAATTCTATTTTCAAAATAATTTTTATTCTAAAGACTAAACACCGGCACCGATTATAGACCGATTTGACGATGACGATTTACTTTATATATTTTTTTTATTTATATATGATATTTCTCTCAAATTTTTATAGCAAACAAAAATCCAGAGAGCGCATGAGACAGTTGCTGTGTCATGTTCTTTTTGCTGCTGTTTGCCGTTTAGGGAATACCGTAAAATGTCATAAAGGTCATCGAAAATTTATGCTGAATGTTAGCTGCTGTGTTCGCTGAACGCGCCCATTTATAGCAATGTACTCTCATACAGGAGATGCATACCTGTTTATCGTAACTTTTAGTCAACAAATAATAATGTAATAATTAAGCCACTGAAAAACGTTTCAAACAAATACTTTAACAAAATAAGCAAGAAACAACCTTAATCTCTAATAAATATGAGAAAACTCACCGGAGTTTCATCAGCTGCTTGAACACGTGCGGCTATTTTGATTACATGATATTCAGGTATGACGAATCCTCCAGAGGCACAATAAAGGGAATTCAGAAAGCTTTAAAAGTATACTACTAGAATAATAAAACATGGCATTCCTGGTTGTATTGGACATATGAATTAAATTCATATGTCCAATAAATTAAATACGTTTAGCGTATCCTACAGGTTACACTGTCAAGTAAAGGGGTGAATATGAATAATTCCGGACTGGGTAATCGGAACCCAGCAAACTAGGGCTCGCTCAAAAGAGCGTTCCTTAAGCCGCACAGTGGGGTATTTGACACAGATAGTTGATCGAAATTTTTTTATGTAGACCTTATATAAATTATTGCTAATTTCAATTAAAGAGGAAATAATATGAACAAAATAAAGGATAATTCGTCGATTCTAAAAAAAGAAAGAAAAATCACTGTTCCAGTGTTTCCACGGACAATGCCACTAATACCAGTAGTAATATCGCAACTAATACTACTCATGCTACGACTGATCCGCGAG